TAAAAATATGACAGACAAATATCTTGTTTTTAACAATATCTATTTTTATTTATCTACATCTCTCTCACTATCATCTTCCACAATAAGACAAATTTTGGTTTCTCATATTATACAATATTTGCTTATGGTGATTTTTACAATCAATCAATCAGCTTTTAGTTCCGATGTACATATCGATATAAAAGTATTTAAAAAAAAATTTAGACTGTGTAAACAATAAAAAGATTATTTTTAAACTGAAATAAGTTGTTATTCATAATCATCTCAATGGCAGAAGTTGGTGAAAAGGTATGACAAAGTGCCTGTATCGATTGGCAAATAAACTATGCATAATTAAATAGGCATATGCCTATGTCAAATATTCCATCATTAATTCTGTTTAAAGTTTATTAAACTAATTCATACGTCATAGAACAAACATTAAGACGGTCGTATATATATGCTTATTATTTCTTATTCAGTTGATCAAAACAGAATGTATAAAATGTTAAGTATTGAATTCAAATATTGGCCAATATTTCTATTTAACTGTATTTATTCCCTCGGGCATCCTACTTCGGTAGCCACTTTGGGATGCATGGTATTTTGAGGTTGTTCCTCCTTAATTGTTGACACGCCTGAAGCTGTTGAAGTTGTTGACTCGCTTTAATCTGTTAACAAATACATATAAACTTTATGACTTTATATATATATATATATATATATATATATATATATATATATGTGTATGTGTATATATGTACATATATGTATATATATATATATGTGTATATATGTGTGTGTATATATGTATGTATATGTATAAAAAAATTCATCTATTTTGTTATACACTGTTTTAAAGAAGCCAGTGACTATTTTTGGCTTTTTCTTCTTCATTGTTGACTAAGCAACCATCTACCTCTACATTACGCACTAATTATGTTGCCGGCCTTGTCTGTTTGACCGCTGTAGTTGTCGTACTGCCCTCAACATCCTACTTGAGTCATTCTTACGTTTTTCTATTTCATCATCTATTCGATAAGTTTATAATTTGTCTCTTTTTGTAAGTTATTTCCTCCAAGATTCCCTCCATGATAGCATTCCTTTAACCAATTAACTTAGTCCTATTTTCTTTACCTATTTTCTTTATTTTTCCATTCATCAGTACCATTTCTGGTGTGTTTTTGCTTTTCTGGTAAGTATCCAGATATCCAAAATATCAACATCATCCTGGATTTTTGTTGTTGTGTGTTGCTGTATTAAAATTACCATGATATCGACCCAAAAGCACTATTAGGAATTACATACCTGTTGAAATAGATATCCACGAAGATCCTACTTCAGAACAGTTTCCATACAGTGCTTTGACACTCAAATTAGCACTTTGTCCAGCTTCAACACCAATACAACGTACGGTCGCCGTGTTAGTATCCTCAATCATCACAGGAAACGGTTCACCAGCAGAACAATAAACTGCATACACAACATTTGATGGCGCATTTGACGTCATATTGGCAACTATGGTTGACGTATTAGTTGCAACGTCTTCGATCAGTGAAATATTAACAGGCTCATCTGGAAAACACCATCGTTTTACATATTAGTAATCCTAGGTCTATATCTACTTTACTTGAAACATTATTATTTTTGTAAGCTCTACCACACCCGACTGAAGAAAATATTTCCATTGTACTTATCTGGAAGAGCACATTTATCGGTAAAGATACAATATATACAGTAAACCATAATCTCTATTATACATTTAGCAGAAATTACAAACAAATTTAATAATAATCATGTAAATAAGGCTAATGTCATCATTAATTCTGAGCCTGTTTCTGTTTAAAATATCAACATCATCAGCGCTTTTTCCTTAACTGGATGATGCAGTATGTATTCAAAATCATCGCACACGCGTTCACTGAGCGAGTACTTTGCTCTATAAAAGAATTGTGTGTGTTTAAAAAATAGAAAGAAAAAAGAATAGGATACGTATTTACCATCAGATGTTTTAAGTCGTTATGCTGTTACAAATATTAAACCTATGCTCGACACGCACGGGCCAAAATAGAGCAACATAAATATCACGACTATACTATTACATTATTTTATCAAAAATAGGGGTTCATCAAAATAGGAGTAGCCTAGTCGTGGACAAAAACTACTTTCTCGGTTTTCGGAGTAAGCCCTACAGTACCTGTTGAAACGATTTCTGATGCTGGTAAACCCTGCTTGGAGTTGGCGACAGCAATCACGGTTACGTTCACTATTTGTAATGGGTTTAAACAAGAGCATTCTATACTGGCCGAACCAACAACCTCGTCTATGACTGATGAAGCTGGAACTCCACTTGAACAATTAACGACGAATTTTGAAGCGAAACCAGTTCTCATTTCCCATGCGACAGATATCGAATCCAATGAAGATGTGCGATTTGTGAACGTCACAACGTCCGGGTCTAATAATGATGATGATGATGATAATAATAATAACAATAATAATAATAATAATAATAATAATAATAATAATAATAATAATAATAATAA